GGACCCCAGGGCGGTTGGGCCACAAAATTCCCACGCGCCAAGCCGCGCCGCGCCCGCGCGCCACCTGCCGCAAGGAGCCCCGCCGTCCGCCCGGCCTCCGCTCTGCGCCGCCTCCGCGCGGCCGCTTCCGCGCCACCGCCTCCGCGCTGCGGCGACGCCGCCGCTGGCGGGCCGCGCCGGGCTGGGCGGCCATCCGGGTTTTCTCCTTTTCAGCGCAGGTCCGCCGCCTGGCGCAGCTGCCGCGAAACATGGCGCTGCAGCGCGCCGCTCACCACCTGGCAGGCGCGGGCCAGCTCTGGCTGCTGCTCGTCGTCCGGCAGCTCGCGCACGTGGCTGAAAAGCCACTGGCGCGCCTCCGCGCCGAGCCATCCTGCGGTCTCCACAGCGAATGCTGTCAGCCGTCCGCCGGGATACCGCTCGTGCTTCTCCCGTCCGGCTCGACGCGAGGCGTCTCCCGGCCTCCGCGCAGCGACGCGCACAGCGGAATCGGCCCCAGCCGCAGGGTGCCGCACGGTGGCATCCACCCAGCGCCTGATATCCGCGTCCTCTCATTGGACATCCAAGATGGCTCGCTCGGAGACGGCCGGGCCAACACTCTCGGCGGGGCGACGGGGGCGGAAGCGGCCCCAGGTGAGCACGCGCTGTTCGTAGAGCGGGCGGTCGTGCCTCAAGCGCCCCCCAGGCCCCCCACCGCCTTGGCCAGCCCACTATGGCGCCTGACTAATTACAACTCCCCCGCGCTGGCAGGTGGCCGCGCGGAAACCGTCCTCGCCCAAGGGCTCCCGGCATAAGGCTCCGCCACCCGTCTAGTTGCAGCACGTCGGAGATGCCCGCGCGAGCTCGTCGCGAGAGCACTCCAACCTCGACAGCAGGAGGCGGCTGCGAGCCCCAGGGGCCCACTCCACGTCACTCAGCGCATACGCTGCATCTGTGCGCCCCGGACCCCAGCCCGCCGGCGGACTGGAGGACCCCCCGGCAGCGAGGGCGCACTCGCTGCCGGGAGGCAGCCAGAGTAGTCTTACGCACCGTCGCAGCCATTGTCTTCTGCCTCGTCGGCCAGCCGAACGCCGCGGCGCGCGGGGCCGCTGGGGACGGCTCCACGCTTTGGCGCGCCAATTCTGCGCGCGCCTCCGCCATCGCCTCTGCGCTCCGGGAAACAAAATGAAGCACATCCCCAGACATGCCGTGCAACGCCCTGACTTTTTCAGGACGGGGCCCCTGGAAGTCCCGACCCATTCCCCGGGACCGGTTTTTCATCCTGGATCGTTGTTGGTCAACCCCGAGGCCCGGCGAGGGCCCCCCGAGGCCGAAATGGGCCAGAAACCTCCACTCCTGATTTTTTCACGACGCGACGCGGTGCCCAGGTCGCGGCGCACCTCGTCAGCCGCGCACGTCCGCGCAGCTCAGAAGGCCGCGGCGCACCCCGAGGTCACCCACTGGGCCCCCGCGGCACCCAGCAGCCCCGCGGCAGGCCCAGCAGCTCGCAGGCCACTGGCCTCAGCGAGCGGCTCAGCAGTTGCTCCCCGCAGGTCCCCAGCGCCGCGTCGTAGCAGAAAGCCTCGTGCAGCGTCGCCAACGCAAATAGCCTCGTCCAGCGTCGCCAAGCATAAAACAAATAGCCAGCCATTGTCAAAAATCGTCCCCTGACAATTGTTCTCTATTTTTCCCTACCTAGGCTCTGCCTAGAAGGGTTCTTACTCTGTTGGCTTAAAGGGGCCGGGCAGTGGAAAGCGCCCCGGGCGGTTCCCCCACTCCCCTGGGAGCCAAGCAAAAGCAACAGCAAAGGTAAAAGCAAACGCGCGGTTCCCCCAGTTGCGCTCCCTGGGTGCCAAGCAAAAGCAAAAGCAATGGCAAAAGTGAAGGCAAAAGCGAAGGCACAGCAAAAGCATAGCATAGCATAGCATAGCATAGCATAGCATAGCATAGCATAGCATAGCATAGCATAGCGCAGCATATCATAGCGCAATATAGCATATCATAGCATAGCATAACATAGCATAGCATAGCCTAGCCTAGTCTAGCCAAGCATAGCATTGCGCAGCATCGCATAGTATAGCATAGCATAGCATAGCACAGCATAGCATAGCATAGCAGAGCATAGCATAGCATAGCATAGCATGTCGCTTTTCTAGAGGCTCCAACTCCTAGGTCGGGTCGCAGGGATCATTGAATGTTCCTCCTATAGCGGGACACGCCCAACTTAAAGGTAGCGTTGGCTGGCGGCTGGCGTTGCCGGCGCTGGTCGTCAGGAGAGCCCCCCTCGCCTGCCAGGCGAGGGAGGCCCTCCCGTCGCTCCTCCAGGCGGTCCCAGAGCTGCTGCAGGCGCGCCCTCGCGGCGTCCAGCCCGCAGCCCTGCCCGCCGAGGCGCCGCGTCGTCGGCGCCCCCCGGCGCCAGGATTAGGTCGGGCCTGTCCCCTACAGGCCGATTTTGGACGAAAATAAAAAATTGGCACGCGTGCCATGGCTCTTGCACAAAACAAAGGGGGAAGAAGGAAGAGGAGGAGGAGGAGGAGGAGGAGGAAGAGGAGGAGGAGGAGGAAGAGGAGGAGGAGGAAGAAGAAGAAAAGAAGGAGGAGGAAAGGGGGGAGAAGAGGGGACGAGAAATGCGGAGGAAGTTCTCATCGCGGGGGGGCGGGACGGCGGGGGCGGTGCGACGCAGAAATAAGATGGTCGGAGCGGAAGGGGGGCGGGGTGCACTGGGCGGGCGGGGAAGGGAGAACGATCGTGGGGGCGGGACGGTGGGGGCCGTGCGACGCGGAAGAAACGTTCGTGGCGGAGGGGGCTGTGGGCGGAGCTCCTACTGGAGCGCTGGGGACGCGGGGGGGCTCGGGGTGACTGGGTTGGGCTCCTACCGGGGCGCTGGGGACGCGGGGGGGGGAGGGTGGGGAGGTGGTGTGCGTCGCGACGCGGAATAAAATGGTCGGTGCGGAAGGGGCACTGGGCGGGGCTTGGGGCAGAGGGCCACGGGGCAGGGGGTCCAACTGGGGCGCTGGGGACGGGGGGAGGAGGGGGAAGGTGGTGGGCGGGGCTCCCGCTGGGGCGCTGGGGACGCGGGGGGGCTCGGGGCAGAGAGCCACGGCGCGGGGGTCACACTCTGGCGCTGGGGACGCGGAGAGGGGGGGGGGGAGGCGACGCGGAATAAAGCGTTCGTGGCGGAGGGGGCAGCGGGCGGGGCTCCCACTGGGGCGCTTGGGACGCGGGGGGGCTCGGGGCAGAGAGCCACGGCGCGGGGGTCCCGCTCTGGCGCTGGGAACGCGGGGGGAGGGGGTTCGACGCGGACTAAAGTGGTCGGAGCTCTAGACACCCTGCGCAAGAGTATTTCTGGACTATTTTTGGATATTCCTCCTGTAGAGGGACACGCCCGACTTAACGCCAAGAGGTGGGCGCCAAGAACTGGCAGCTCGGGCACACACGGGCCCGCCAGCTCGGGCTGAACGGCTTGCGCCCCGGCCAGTGGCCATACCAGTATCTTGCGTGCTTGGAGGTCAAGTCCAAGCAGCGCAAGCACAGTGTTCAGACAAGCCAACACCAGTGCCCTGAGGTCCGCTCTTCCCACCAGGTAGGTGTCGCCAAAGTAATAGAGAAGCCTGGCATCGGGGTCCCGCTGCACTATAGTCGATTCTCCTGTCTGGAGCGCGGATTGCCAGGGCAGGTTCTGCCACCACGCGCATGCAGGCAGCGTCTGCTCCTCCGAGACATGGTGCATGACAGGTATCCCGCGTTGGATTGGGTCGTTCCCCCCCTGGGCGCTGGGGCTGGGGTTCCCAAGTCAGCCCCCCGGTTGGCAGCTCCAGTGGTCAATGCGGTCCGCGCCTCCTGAGCGTGCACAGCCTCCGCACGACCAGCAGGGCGGATCCCGCCCCCCGCTCCGACGTTGCGAGCTTCGCACAATGTGCACATCTAGCTGCACCGTTGCCGACGCCCCCAGGAGCATTGGCGCATCTCCTGCGACACGGATGGGACGCCACACGCCTCACATGCTGCTGGGCGTTTGGACTCCGGCTGCAGGTCCAGCGCCCAGACTCCAGGGGCGCGTCGCCGCCCAGGTCCAGCGCCTCGTCCTCGTGTTCGTCATCATCATCGTCGTCCTCCTCCTCCTCATGCTCCTCCTCCTCCTCCTTTTCCTCCTCCTCCTCCTCATCATCATCCTCATCATCATCAGCCTCGGCATCATGATCATCATCATCATCATCCTCATCATCAACAACATCATCATCCTCATCATCATCATCATCAGCATCAACATCATCATCATCATCATCATCATCATCATCATCATCATCATCAGCAGCAGCAGCAGCAGCATCATCGTCCTCATCCTCATCCTCATCCTCCTTCTCCTTCTCCTTACTCTCCCTCCCTGAGGCCGGCTGGTACTGCGCCACCGCCGTCGTCGGCAGGCCATGGCACCGCTCCCCCTCCACCAGCTCCCGTTGCTGGAGGTCCCGGCCAGCGGTTGCCCCTCGTCCTACTCTCTCCTTGGCCCTCCTCGTCGTCCTCCCCGCATGGGGTCATCCCCGCCGCTCGCCTCCGCTCCTCCTCCCCCTCCTCCTGCTGGCGGCGTAGCCGAAGCAGACGGAGCACACGGTGCACTCAACCTCACGCCCGACCCTGCCCGTTGCGGCTTGGCGGGGAGAGCTGCGGGATCACCCACCGCACCGCCGGAGCGCCGGCCGGGCCAGCGCGACCGCACAGCCGCCGCGAGCCCACGGCGGGCGACGAGGAGCCACGGAAGGCCTCCCGCCGCAGGCGGCGAGGCCGCCCAGCCGCCACGAGCTCGCGGCGGGAGACAGGGAGGCACGGAAGGCCTCCCGCCGCAGGCTGTGCCAGTGCAGAGGTCCCTCCAGGGAAATGGGAGAAGCGAGCGGGAGGGGCAAAGTGGACAGGCGAGGAGCAGCAGGAGCTGGAGCTCACCTCCTCCTCCTCCACCTCCCCTCCTCCTCCTCCTCCTCCTCCTCCTCCTCCTCCTCCTCCTCCTCCTCCTCCTCCTCCTCCTCCTCCGCCTCTGATCATAGGAACCGCGCGGCTGCGCGAAGACCCGTTGCGCGGCGGCGCCCCGCCGAGCGCCTCCGTCGGGGGCAGGAACGCGTCGCCCTCCACGCGGAGAACCTGGACGACGTCCGTGTTCAGCGCTACGTACACCTCGCCGGCGCACCACGGGCGCCGCAGCGTGTCGCGGGTGAGAAGGACCACGAGCCTGGGAGGACGCCGCTATACATCCTCCCCGATCCGTCTTGCCTGTTCCTGCGTCAAGCTCGAAAGGGGAGGGGACAGTCTCGCAGCTCGCTCGGCCAGCACATATAACACATGATCCACTCGCACTGCCACCGAAAAGGTGCACCAGAACCAGAGCAAGGATGAAGAACGAAGAGGAGGACAAGGAGGGGGGAAGTGAGTAGCGTCGTTGCCAAAATCGGTTGCCCCGCGAACCACATGCTTCAAACCTTGGGCCCAGAATTGGTGCATACGCCTTGCTGGCCAGGCAAGGAAAGACCGTGTAGATGGACATAGAAGTGCAACCCTTGACTGCGCCTCCCCACAGTCCCCCCAGATTCAAAGTTGGTCAGAGGCATTCGGCAGCACAGGCGTGAGAGGGCAAGCAAAACAAAAGGAACCCCGAGGGACTGCGCGAAGCCGAACCCAGCTTTACATTTTGGGGGAGGGGTGGGGACCAAACATCCAGTCGAACACAAAAAGGTTCCATGATTGTCCACTTACCAGAGTTCGGTTCTGGCTAATACCGATACCAATGCATAATTGACATTGTCCGAGAGCCGCTCGGTATCGATTCTGATGACCTCGAAGAGCGTCGACAGCTCAACCAGGTCGTCCGAGTCCACGAATATGTCTCGTCCGGTGCTCGCGGTGAGCAGGATCTTGAGGAGCCGTGTCTGCGCGGAGGCATCGCCCTTGTGGTGGCAGATAAGTGCCCAGTATGAACGGGGTGCGTAGCGTCTCTTAGCCATCAGCACAAGCAGCACGAACAAGGAGCCAATGCTCAGAATAAAGAACACGCAGAACGCTAACGTGCCCATCAATCGCACCGTGTCCATTTGGATGCTCACATGTGCGGCCATGCCCCCAGTTTGGAGGACCAATAGCAGCAACACCGTGCATCCCGCGTCGATGATGTTTGAGAACTCCGACAGCCAAGGCAGCGCACGCACCTGAAGGCAGAGGCTGGCACAGAGGATGCAGTTCAGCATGGTGAGCTGCATGGCCACATCTCGGGTGATAATGGGCACTACGCAGATCAAGCAGCCACGCAGGAGCATGAGCACACCGAAATAATACGCTCTGATGGTGAACTTGGAGTGCAGAAAACGGCATGCTGCAAAATAGAACAGGCCGCCGTCGTCTGCACCCGCAGTGAGCCGCCGAAGCTTGACAGTACCGAGGACTGAGAACGCCAAGAAAGGCACCAGAACGACCAAGATAACGACGACCATGATGACGACCATCTTCGCGTGCTCGTCACTCTCGAAACACAGCACTGACGGCGTCGACCGCATAGACGCAAGGCTGCCGCCCGGGTGCTCGTAGCATACCAAGGGCAGCAGCGACGATGAAAAAATCAGTATGAACAAAGCATTGAAGCATGTGCCAATGGCATTGAGGACCGAGGCGAGGGTCCCAGTAGCAGCAGCGGCAGCAGCTGCGCCAATGCGGCGGTGAAGGATAACGGCGACTGTGAGGATGGGCACGCAGATGGGGGCGATGCCCTGTTGCATAGCGTACTTGGCGACCAGGTCTAGGTCTACTCCCATGATGCAGGGAAGGCTAAAGATGTCCAGGTTGAAATTCAGGGCGCTAACAGCGCGCATCATTGACTTCACTGGCTCGAACCACTCTAGATTCAGTTGGGCGAATACGCCCAAGGCCTGCAAGCCAGATACGATCATCCCCAGATGCACGACGCAGTGCACGAAATCGACCCTCTGCTTGACCCACGGCTTGTTGAACTGTGATGCGACCACCACCAAGACTAGCGGCCCGATGAGCAAGATCGCGAACACCGGCAAGACCTGGCAGATTCCGGAAACCCTGAATCAAAAAGTGTTGACGTCTCACTTTCGGCTACACGCAAGAGTGACCCTGGGTAAGAGTGACCTTTGGTGCGCGGCTTTTGGGGGGCCACGAGGGGACCAAACCTGGAAGCCGCTGCTCCTGCTTCGTTTTCAGCCACCTGGGGACCCATCTGTGCCCGCACCAAAGGTCACTTCGGCGAAAGGTCACTCTTACGTCTAGTCGACACTTCTGCTCCCACCGCCCCGACGAGCTTTCGCCGGCCACCGCCGGCGGCGCCGCCGTCCTCCTGCTTCCGCCTGACCTGCCGCCGAGGGCGAGGCTTCGAGGGGCAGGGGGGGGGGGGGCTCGGGCCTACGAGGGAAGCCCGGTGCCGTTGCGGGCGGTGGGGAGGGAGGTACTGGCCTGGCGACCGCCCGCCACGGATGCTGCGGGTTCACCGAATACTCAAACACCACGCTGAGCAGGAGATCGACGGCAGAATTGATCAACCCCAGAGTTGTTGTCTTGTCGACGCTACGACTCGTGCGTAGAATGCTTCGTAGATCTACGGAGCTGCGTAGGGACTCTCGTAGACTCGACGAGAGAAGCAATTCTGGGGCACTTCTGTTGGTTGGCCCGAAATTGGGCTCCAGCTGAAAGGGGGCAATGCAATAGGTTTGGGGCAAGTGGATTGCACATGTATTGCACCAGGGAGCTGTATTGCATGCAGTGCGCACGCGAACACCAAGCAATACATTCACGCACCGGAATGTATTGCACGCCCCAAACCTGTTGCAACCGCACACATATGCTTCCCAAAATCTATTGCACCACCCTCTTCTCGCTGGGCCACCCTTGTGGGTCAACCAGCGAATTCCTCGTCGACCCCCTGCTCGGACAGCCCCCTTCCTGGAACGCCACAGCTGGGTTGTGGATGCCACGACAATGGACACTCTAACAATCTTACCATTGAATCAGAGATATGTTTAGAATGTGTAACACATGCTCTAAACATGTTTCAAACATGCTTTTCACATTTTCAGAACAGATTTGCAACATCTTCTAGACATCTAGACATCAGGAGGCAGCACGCTTCCTCTCCATTCATCGACTTCCTCGGCACCTGGGTGAAGCTCGTGCCGCCGCAGGGGACGCAGGCGCCGTCGACGGCGTGGGAACCCCGCTCGCAGAGGCCGCAGGCCACGGAGCCCGCGTCGCGGTGCGGGGCGCACTGCGCCGGGCCCCCCCCGGGGCAGTGGGCGTCGGAGAGGCACCGGAAGACCAGGAGCACGTCGTCGGCGAGCGACATGTAGCCGGGCTGGAGCGCCACGGGCCCAGCCTCGTGGGCGAACATACACACGTTCGTTCATGTCTAGTCGTGCTCGTTTCTAAGCGTGCTCGTTTCAAAATTGTTCCTGGCCCCCCCGTGGCCAGGAGGAGGCCCAGGATGGAAGAACTAGAAATGAAGGGATCTTGGCCCCCAAGAACCCAGGGATTTTCGCAGAAGTAGAAATGAACAGTGTGTATTTTTATCCGCGGCCTCGCGGGCTGGCCCCCTAGGCCGCGACCCCGCGGATACGTGGCGTTTTTTCGCGGACGCCCCGCGCGGAACGTATCCGTGCCACCGCGTATCCGGATCGTGCCCCGGAATCCAGACCGCGAGGGCGCGGATACGGATATGGTCGCCGCTCGAGACGGCCTCGGCCGTGCCGAAGGCGCTCAGGTTGCTGCCCATCTTGCAGTCAAAGCCCTTCGGGCAGGTCTGGCACACGTCTGCGGGTCCCACGGCAGAGCCAGCGGGACACCCGCAGTCGGCCGAGAAGGGCGCGCCCAGGGACGGGGTCGTCTTCCCGGGCGGGCAGTCCACGCAGGCCTCTGCGCTCTCCGCGGGCTGGTCCGCCACCGTGCCTGCACGGTGTGGGCGTGCTACGTGGAATGCCCAGTGCTACTTCTCGAGGTGTGTCCTCTCCCGAGGTTTGCCCCCAGGCGCCCCCCCGCCCCCGGCAGCCCCGCCCGAGGCTTGCTGGGAAGCCTGACGACTCCTTTCCACGGCTATGACTCGTCTAGGATGGCCGAGGAAGGCCACCAAGATGGCCCAGCATTACCCCAAGAGGAACCCAGAGCTCCCAAGAAGCGCCGAATCTATACCTCAAGAGGTCTCAAAGAGGCCCAAAGGCACCCCCAAGACAGCTTCCAGGAAACTGTTTTTCGTCGGCGGCGAGGCAGAGGCAGTCCGCTCCAGCGTGTGGCTATTCGGGGCAACCGAAAATCGAATGGTCCGGCGGGCAAGAGGAAGGAAAAAGACGAGGGCGGCCACACGAACTGCCAGGAAACACACGTGAGGCCAAAACCTGTGGTCTCGTCCTGCTGTTCCACGCACGTCGCTTTTCGCGCTCGCGGGGCTCAGGATCGGCTCCGGTCTTCGAGCGCCCACACAAGAGGCAGTTGTGAAATTCCCATGAGGGCCCATTGACAGCCCAGGGCGGCCCCAAGAGAGCCCCAAGCTGGCCCAGGAAGGCCTCAGGAGGCATCCAAGGCCTGGCCCAAGACGGCTCCAAAACGGCCCCGCGAGACCCCCCCCAAGGGACCCCCAAAACTGCCCCACGGGAGCCCAGCACAACCCCAAGACGGCCCCCAAAAAATATGATAGCACTTCAAGATGCGCAGACGAGAGGTGTACCATGTGACGGCTTTCCAGTTACTCCTCCTCAGCATCATCACCATCATGCTCCTCACCCCCCCAGTCCACAACAATCATCCTCAATTGCCTCCTGCTCCCCCTCCTACTCCTCCTTCTCAACATTAGCATCCTCATCCTCATCCTCATCATCACCCCCATCCTCATCTTCCTCATCATCATCACCAACAACGAAAGCAAAAGCAATAGCAACAGCAACAGAAGCAGCAACAACAACAACGAACAGTTTCAGACTGTTTGCCCTGATCTGCTCGAGTCTCCGTTAACGCGTATTTCCCAAACCCTCGATACCCGCCCTCTTCATCTTCGATCGTACCCACATTGGAAAGTATACCTTTCTTCCCTGCAGTCCGGGCCACGGCAAGCGGCGGGGCGGCCGCGGACCGTCGGCCTGGCCAGCGGCAGCGCTGATCGGCGGCATCCAACCCCCAGGAACACAGAAAGAGGACCGACCACGACGACGACGTCGACGACGACGACGCCGGCGACGACGACGACGAGCGAAAGCGACAGCGAGAGAGAGAACGACAGCAGGGCCACAAAGGGCACGAAGTGGGCCACGAAGGGCGACAGCGGGGCCACTAAGGGCATGCACATGGGGCCACGAAGAGCGCGAACGAGCGGAGGCCACGAAGGGCAGATAATGCGGGGCCACAGAAGGCAACGACGGGGCCACTGAGGGTAGCAACCGGGCCATGTAGGACAGCGAGGGGGCCACAAAGGGCGACAGCGGGGCCAGGAAGAGCATGCACATGGGGCCACGACGGGCGCGAACGAGCGGGGGCCACGAAGGGCATACGTAGATTGGGCCGCGGAGGGCAAGGGCGACAGCGGGGCCACGAAGGGCATGCATGTAGGGCCACGACGGGCGCGAACGAGCGGGGGCCACGAAGGGCATACACATATGGGGCCACGAAGGGCAGCCAGGAGGCCACGAAAGGCGGCAACGGGTCCACGAAGGGCAGCGAGGGGGCCACGAAGGGCTGCAACGGGGCCACGAAGGGCAGCGAGGGGGCCACGAAGGGCTGCAACGGGTCCACGAAGGGCAGCGAGGAGGCCACCAAGGGCTGCAACGGGGCCACGAAGGGCAGCGAGGGGGCCACGAAGGGCTGCAACGGGTCCACGAAGGGCAGCGAGGAGGCCACCAAGGGCTGCAACGGGGCCACGAAGGGCAGCGAGAGCCCGATTCCTAAATGATCTGTGAGGGAGTCCTAAGCGTGAGCGCGACTCCTGGGTGCCTGAGTGTCGGGAGCGCGGCGCTTGAGAAAATTACGGGAACTTCCAACGCAAGGGCGTACTCTTGAGTAAATGGCAAACAAGTCTTCAGCGAGAGCGCGACTCCACAGCGCCGAGAAAGCGATTCCTGAATAAATTGCAAGGAGGTCCCAAGCGAGAGCGCGATTCCTGAATAAAACGCAAGGACGTCTCGGGCGGGAGCGGGGGTCCTGGCTAAATCGTAAGAAGATTCAGGCGGGAGCCGTTGTTGCTGTAACCCGGGAACCAACAACATAGATTGAGGACGAAGACTTACCCTGATTAAACACCGGGTGCGACCGCCGGGAGGGGCACTTCAATTGAAACATACAATGTGCACCAGAGGGGGATCAGTAATAAAAACTTGTCAGTAAGAAGGGTTCAGCAACAACAACAATAACAGCAACGGCAACAACAATGATTTTCAGATTGTTCGTTCTTATCGACTCGAGTGTCCGTTAACGCGTATTTCCCAAACCCTCGATACCCGCCCTCTTCGTCTTCGATCATACCCCAATTGGGAGGTATACCTGTCTTTCCTGCAGGCCGGGCCACGGCAAGCGGCGGGGCGGCCGCGGACCGTCGGCCTGGCCAGCGGCAGCGCTGATCGGCGGCAACCCGACCCCAAGAGGGACGGAAAGAGAACCGACCACGACGACGACGACGACGACGACGTCGACGACGACGACGAAGGCGGCGACGACGACGACGACGACGATGACGCCGACGACGAGCGAAAGCGAGAGCGAGAGAGAGAACGACAGCAGGGCCTCGAAGGGCACGAAGTGGGCCACGAAGGGCGACAGCGGGGCCACTAAGGGCATGCACATGGGGCCACGAAGAGCGCGAACGAGCGGAGGCCACGAAGGGCAGATAATGCGGGGCCACAGAAGGCAACGACGGGGCCACTGACGGTAGCAGCTGGGCCACGTAGGACAGCAAGGGGGCCACAAAGGGCGACAGCGGGGCCACGAAGAGCATGCACATGGGGCCACGACGGGCGCGAACGAGCGGGGGCCACGAAGGGCATACGTAGATTGGGCCGCGGAAGGCAAGGACGGGGCCACTGAGGGCAGCAACGGGGCAACGAAGGGCAGCGAGGGGACCACGAAGGGCGACAGCGGGGCCACGAAGGGCATGCAGATGGGGCCACGACGAGCGCGAACGAGCGGGGGCCACGAAGGGTATACATAGAAGGGGCCACGAAGGGCAGCGAGGGGACCACGAAAGGCTGCAACGGGGCCACGAAACAAAGCGAGGAGGCCATGCAACGGGGCCACGAAACGAAGCGAGGGGGCCACGAAGGGCTGCAACGGGGCCACGAAGGGCAGCGAGGGGGCCACGAAGGGCTGCAACGGGGCCACGAAGGGCAGCGAGGGGGCCACGAAGGGCTGCAACGGGTCCACGAAGGGCAGCGAGGAGGCCACCAAGGGCTGCAACGGGGCCACGAAGGGCAGCGAGGGGGCCACGAAGGGCTGCAACGGGTCCACGAAGGGCAGCGAGGAGGCCACCAAGGGCTGCAACGGGGCCACGAAGGGCAGCGAGGGGGCCACGAAGGGCTGCAACTGGTCCACGAGAGGCAGCGAGGGGGCCACGCAGGGCTGCAACGGGGCCACGAAGTGCAGCGAGATCCCGATTCCTAAATAATCTGCGAGGGAGTCCTAAGCGTGAGCGCGACTCATGGGTGCCTGAGTGTCGGGAGCACGGCGCTTGAGTAAATTGCAAGCAATTCCAACGCAAGGGCGCTATTCTTTGAAAATTGCAAGCAAGACTCCAGCGAGAGCGCGACTCCAGAGCGCCGAGAAAACGATTCCTGAATAAACTGTCCGGGAGTCCCGAGCGAGAGCGCGATTCCGGAATAAAATGCGAGGAAGTCTCAGGCGGGAACGGGGGTCCTGGCTAAATTGCGAGGAAGTCTCAAGCGGGAGCCGTTGCTGTTGCAACCCGGGGGCCGACAACACAATTTGAGGTCGAAGATTTCCCTTGATATGAGAAAAAACAAATGCGAGCGCCAGGAGGGGCGCGTCAATTGAAAAAAGCAATGTGCACCGAAAGGGGACCAACAACAATAATTATTCTTCGATAGTGAGAAACGACGCCGACGACAACAACGACAAGAAGAACAACATTATCATCATCATCATCATCATCATCATCATCATCATCATCATCATCATCATCATCACCATCATCATCATCGAGGGTGCGCCGCTGGATAACCCCACCGGGGGGGAACCCCCCCCCCCCCCTTTTCCTCGATCCGTCGTCGGGGACCCCCCGCCCCCCTCCCCCCCTTCCCCGATCCGTCGTCGGGGACCACCCCCCCCTTTCGTCGGGACCCCCCCCCCCCTCCCTCTTTCAAAAGGGGGGGGGGGTCCGAACCCCCCCCCCCCCCCCTTTGGCCGCAAGCCCCCCCCCCCCTTTCGCCACGCCGCCCCCCTGACTCCGGAACCCGACCCCCGCCACCCCTACCCCTAATCCTCACCCCAACCCAACCCCCAAATCCTAACCCCAACCACTAACCCCAGCCCCAAAGAGCACTCACTTCTCATTACTCACTACCCACTACTGACTACTCGCTATTCGCTACTCACTTATCACTATTCCCTACTCACTACTCACGACTCACTACTCAGTATCCACTACTCACTCCCCACCACCCACTACTCGCTACTCACTACTCCCTACTCACGACTCCCTCCTCCCTCCTCACTATTCACTACTCACTCCTCACTACCATTACTCAATACTCACTACTCACTAAGCACTACTCACTACTCCTTACTCACTACTCACTAATCACTACTCATTACCCACTACCCACTATCCACTACTCACTACTCACTACTCACTACTCATTGCCCACAAATCACTACTCACTACCCACTACTCGCTACTCGCTACTCCCTACTCCCTACCCAATACGGACTACACAGTACTCAGTACTCACTACTCGCTACTCCCATACTCGCTTCTCAATACTCACTAATCACTCCCCGCTACTCACTACTCAATACTCACTACGCACTACTCCCTACTCACTAGTCACTACATAGTCTCTAGTCACTAGTCACAACTCACTAGTCACTAGTCACTACTCACGGCTCACTGCTCACTATCCACTACTCACTACTCACCCACTACTCGCTACTCACTACTCCCTACTCACTGCACACTACTCCCTACTCCATACTCCCTACTCACTATTCACTACTCACTACCCACTACTCGCTACTCCCTACTCGCTACTCACTAATCCCTAACAGCTACTCACTACTGACTACTCCCTACTCACTACTACTCACTACTCACTACTCACTACGCCCTACTCGCTCCTCACTACTCACTACTCGCTACTCCCTACTCGCTACTCACTACTCACTACCCACTGCCACTACCCACTACTCTCTATTCATCACTACTCACTGCTCACTACTCACTACGCACTACGTACTACTCACTACTCACTACTCGCTACTTCCTACTCACTACTCACTACTCACTACTCAATAATCACTACTCGCCACCCACTACTCACTACCCACTACTCACTACCCACTACTCATTACTCCCTACTCCCTACTCAGTACTCACTACTCGCTACTCGCTCCGCACCACTCACTACTCACTACTCGCCACTCACTACTCACTTATCAGTACACACTTTTCACTATTCACTACTCACTACTACCCACTCCCTACTCCCTACTCCCTACTCGCCACTCACTACCCACTACTCACTACCCAATACTCGCTACTCACTACGCACTAATTCACTACTCACTACTCACCACTCCCTACTCCCAACTCCGTAGTCCCTACACACCTTCTCCGGCGCAGAAACGAGAAGCAAGAGAGGCTCCCCCTCCCCGGCTCCCTTTCTGGCGCAAAGGGTGGGGGGGGGGGGGTCCGAACCCCCCCCCCCTTTCCAGCGCCAAGGGGGAGGGGAGGGGGGGTCCGGACCCCCCCCTCCCCCCACTTAAGACGGGGAGGGGGGGGGGGTTCTGGACCCCCCCCCCCCCCTTGAAGGGGGGGGGGGT